CAGCCCTAATGTCTATGAAATCTATGAAATCTATGAAAAGGGTATCACAGAATAGTTTCGGAGCTGCAGCACTGTATGTTATATTACTCCCCGAAGTGGAAAATAACAACAAAAACAGAGCAGTGTGCTGACCATGGTCCAGTACAGACCCTGCCATGGGGATTATTTTTCTCCAAAGCCAAAGTAATCTGACCAAAGTGGGGTGGGGGAGGGAAGAGCAGAGGGAACACTAAGTTAGTGGCATCTATGGATCATAGGATCATAGGAAAGTATGTCGGGAAGGGACCTCATGAATTCACGTAGTTTAGCCCCCTGCTCAAGGCAGGATCATCCCTGATTAAACCATGCCAGGTAAGTGTCTCTCAGATATGTTTTTTTTAAATTTCCAGGGATGGAGAAACTCACGGACTCCCTCTGTGATCCAGGAAGTCCTACCCCGAGCGTTCTTCCTGTCTCTATTACAGGTTACCTCTACATTGTAATCAGAAGTGTGATTGCCACATTAGCTTTAATCTGATGCTGGTAACAATAGCATTGAGAATACAGTGGCAAAGACATCAACACATGTACAAGCGTACCAAACAGAGTTGGTATTAAATTTACAGAGGCTGTGGGTAGAGGATAAAGCTTTGACTCTTCCCTTTCTCCCACCTCCACAGTGGGTGACTTTTACTAATTTAGCACAGTGAGGACCCAGGTTATTGCCCCAATTACTTGCTTCTAAAACTAGCTTTGCCAGCATATAGATATATCAGTGTATGCACTTTGATAATTTTCCCTTTCAGGAGTTCATGCTTCTGCCTCTTAAACTTCTAGTGTTACCCTAAACTAGGTGGATTGGAACTAACTTATTTACTGTTACTGCAATCATGCCTCCCAACAGCAGTATAGGTATACCCAGAGATAGTTGGCAGTAGGACATTGTGAGGAGCCTGGGGGTATAAAACAGCAACAGAGAATTTTGGATTTAACCTTCTTCTTTACCCATGATTCTTTTAGAGCACCTAAAGGCAAAAATTACTGAGTGTTTGCTATAAAAAGCACAGGTCAATAAATAAATAAGAAAACATGGACTGTGGCAGTATGGATGGTTAACAATTGCTGGATGAAATAAATGTTGCTTTCTAGGGCATAGGAAAAAGTTTCTTTGACAGTCAAATCCAGAATCAATAAAAGAGAAAAATCCAAGAAATGAGCATTTAATCCTAAAAGCATAATTATACTCAGGAACTTATGGATTCTGTAGCTAACCCATGGCTGGTTCAGACTGCATGCACATTTCCTGTACCATGTTTCTGCATTTTTACCATTTTGGAAGTAACTGGCTTTTTGTATGTTAAAGGTGTGAAATTTGTGGCTTCAGTTTACAGAGTCCTTTTACTTGTTTGAAGCAATCTCATGATACAGGCAGTGCAAACAACAGCACACAGACCTGCCAATGCATCTCACACCCAATACTATTTAGGGAAGGAATTTTCTTTCTCAAAGTCCATCTCAGCTAAGATTCTTCTGAAATATATAGTTTGACTCTTTGGATTTGAACTGGATATGTCAGCCTGAATGATTGCCCAGGACAACTATGATGTTGATGTCTGCAGCCTATGTGTGTACGTTATAAAAATACTTACCACACAACATAAATTATACCTACATTTTATATGCCACTTTTTATAGTAGATCTCAAAGTTTTTAACAAAGCAGGTAAATATCATTATATTCCATTTGCATATAGGAAAACTGTCACAGAAATTAAAAGACATTTACTCCAAAGCACCTGAGATATGTTTACGTGACACAATACATTGCTATGCAGAAATACCCAAGCAAAACTGAATGAGCTAGCTTGGGTACCAGAAGCAGCATAGCTATGTTGGACTCAAATGAATTTGCCCTGTCACTCAGAAGGGATAGCTAGGATCACAGGATCATAGGAAAGTAGGGATGGAAGGGACCATACAAGGTCATCTAGATTAGCCTTCTGTTCAAGGCAGGGTCAACCTGACTAAAGTATCCTAGCCAAGTGCCTGTTCTTGAAAATTTCCAAGAATGAAGATTTCACAATTTTTCTAGTAACCTGTTCCAGTGCCTGATTACCCTCAAAGTAAGTTCCTCCTAATCTCCAACCTAAATTTGTTAAATATCAGCTACTCTATCTTGGTTATTCTGGGTCCTAGCCCTGTGTAGCAGAGAAGAAGAATCTGCTACATTGGGGGACTTACTGCAGATGCTGGGACCACGAGCCAACTGACCACCAGCAGCAGAAGAAAGAAAAGAGAGAGAGCACATGCCTTTGGCACGGGCATGCCTTGTAATTGTGAGCTGGCACCAATTCGTAGGGCAGAACAAAGGCACTGGTTTAAAACTGCTGCGAGACAGCGTCAGAGGGGGACCAGAAGTGAGTTCCTCACCACAGCTGAAACAGCATGAGAAGGCGACTTGTCCTGGAAGAGGCAATTGGTGGAGACCTCATTTAGAGAGGCAGAGCAGACTCAGGGGAGTCAGCATGATTACTGGAGCAGCGTCGGTGGGAGGCAAACACTAGTGATCAGAGTTGGATCAATGGCGAACATGAAAGACAAAAAGAAAAAGGAAAATAATGAAACCATGAGTGAGACAGTGTGGACTGCATTTAGGTGAGTCTAAGCCCAATGTTCCTTATATACAGAAAGGATACCTTGGACCAAGTAGGAATAGAGACAACTGGGGACATTGTCACTTCTAGGCTGTGCCACTATTATTATGACAGAGGCTCTTGTAACTGAGTGTGGCAAGACACCTGTGCAACAGACTTGACATTGCACCACCAGGGTGGCATTAGGCAAGGTGTAGGGGAGGCAGTGCCCCAGGTTCAAGCTACACTGCGTGTAGGTGTAAAGGCACTAAAGGAAGAGAGGTCAACATCATCCTTCCCAAGATTATTTTACATTGAAGACAGGGCAGAAAAGAACTCTCAGCAACTTTAATAATCTACACTGCCAGCCAAACTATCAGTCCATAAAATAGTGGACAGCGCAGGCTGGGTGGAAAAATCTAAGTGGTGGGCCAAAGACCGGCACAGAAAGTTACACCCTGCCCTCCAAAGTTTCTGCAGCTCCACCCAACTTGGTGTCAAATTTGCTAAGTTTGTACTCTGTTCCATTATCCAAATCATTAATGAAAGGAATAAACAATATTGGACCCAGGACAGACCCATAGGGAACCACACTTGATGTCTTCTTCCAGATGGATGTTGAGTCGTTGATGATTACTGGATATGTATGATGATCCAACTAGTTATGTATCTAATTTATAGTGTTTTCATTTAGTCTATATTTTCTTATCTTGTTAATGAGAATGTTGTGGGAAAGTGTCAAAAACCTTGCTAGGGTCAAGGTATATTGTATCCAGTGCTTTTCCTCCATCCACAGAGTCTGTCACCTTGTCATATAAAGAAATCAGATTGGTGAAGCATGACTTGCTCATGACCTAGATAGAACACTGTACTAATGCAGCTATTCTGTTTCTATTACCCAAACTACTTTGAATGTACATTACACTGCATTGTTCTGTCTAAGCATATTCCCAGTGAAGGAACTGAGAATAGAACACCAACCCACTGAGTATCTGTGCAATTCATGAACCACTATCAGAGACTGCCTGCCCTAAGTGCTTTGAAGATGGAACTCAATGAGTGGATAAAGAGGATTAAGCCATGGTGTTTGCAACAAAAAGGGACTGGATTTGACTTGGAAGGTCCCTTTTATCCAGAGCTGAAGAGCTGTTAACAGACATACTCTTAGTAGAAATTACCACATGCTGCTGATGCAGACAGAATTACTTATTTTGTTTATCTGTACATGTTAAAAATTAGCTTGTTAGCTGTTATACAGCTTATCTTACATAACAAGTGCCCAAAGCCAGCTGGCTATCTCTAAAGAACAAGCTTCCTGTGTTTAGTCATGCTGGAATACTGTTGGAATGGATTCTTGCAGAGTCTTTCCAGAAGAGGATCAAGTTGCATGAGTCCACATTCACTAAATATCACAAAAGGAGCATTAGTAATGGGACCTTTGTAGTTCCAGTTGAAAAAAGGAAAACAAAAGGAAGGATTCATATTTGACTTAGAAAAACAATAATAATTTGGCTTAGATTGATATATGTTAATAGTAATGAAATAGATGCCTCCTCAGTATACAAGAAAGAAATATTAATCCTTGAATCTAATTTTTAAATATAAAATTCCTAATAAAATACAATTCTATTTATTCCCTTTTTCTTTCTTACCATATTAAAGATGATGAAGAAACTACTTTTCAGTTTCAGAAGAATCACCACAACACATATCCTTCCACAAATCCTGCCGCAATCTATTTTCAAAAGTAAAGCTAAGGTGACTATTCATTTCATGTTTCATTGAATTTATACCTACTTTATGGGCATTTTGAGGTTTTTGAGGCCAGTTTAGGTTTTCCTTGTCTCTGAATATGTGTTTTCTGCAATTCTATCTTGGCTTTTTTTGGGTGAACATAAATTTCTGAATGTGAAGTGATACAGTGTTGTCCCCTGAGTCAGGAAACAAATAGCCTGAATTAGTTTTCAGTTGGAAGTAAATAGATTTCAGACATTTACCCCTGTGATTCTCAACCAGGGTGCCCTTAGATTCTCTCAAAGTTTTTGTAGGGTACCATACAATGCTAGCACTATTATGTATGCAAGCATAATCCACATCAACCCATCAAAATTTCAAATAGCAATACCTAATGTTAAAAACATTGACTTGTTCTAGTCTTTCTTAGTTCTTTGCAAAAGAACAATCGTTCTACTGTTTTTCTATATTTTTCACTTGCTTTTGACAAAAGAGCTGGCATTTTCTGAGAAGTGACTTGAGTCTAATGAGGGATGTCTTCGGTCTAACAAGGTTCAGGAACACTAATCTATCCCCATGCATTAACACTGGCTCCTAATACTAATATTTTATATTGTTACTAACAAATTGCCTGTCAAGAAAGATGTTGGGGGGGGGGACAGTCAGGGATAGAGCCCTGCATCCAGCCCCACGCCCCTCCTACCCACTGCCGCTCTGGGTCCAGGCCTGCTCTACCCCCACCCCCACTGCTTTGGGTTCAGCCCCACTCTAATCCCCCTCCCTGACTGGTCCAGGTTCATCCCCACTCTACCCCACCTGCTGCTTTGCCTCTGCCTGGCCAGCATCTGCCTCCCTCCCTGCCTGCCTGCCACCTCCCCCTCCCTACTGGCTGTTCTTGGGGTGCGTTGGGGCTGGGTGGGGGGGTGCCACCACTGTGATCCTCTGCCTTCACCCTCAGGCAGAGAGGCATGGGGAAGCGCTACTTCTCGGGTAGCTGGGGTGGTGTGTTTGCCACCACCACAGACTTCCCCAGCAGTAGCTCAAACTTGGGCCTGCACAGTCAATCGCCACCCACCCTCTCAGCAGCACAAGTGCAATTGGCCAAAAGAATTACAGACATACAGACAGACACACAGACAGGCAGACTGAGCCTTTTATTATATTAGAATTGATTTGCTACTGAACATTTTGGAAGGAAGCATTCTGCTAATGAAATAAAATTATATTAATGAAAATGACACTAGCTTTATTGATTCTGTAAATAAGAATGAATTTTAGAACTATAAAAATGTTATTACTTTAAGATTTTTTACTGACTTTCAGCCAATAAACAAACTTATTTATGTTTTTTAGATACTGCTGCTGCTTCGCAATCCAAAAGATACAGCTGTCTCTTACTTTCATTTTTACAATGATATGCCTTTACTTCAATCCTTCAACACGTGGGATGAGTACTTTACAGCTTTTATGAATGGACAATGTGTGCTTCATTTTTTGGAAGCTATTCAAATTACTTGGTATCTAGGCAATGCTTGACACCAGGCTTCAGAAAAACCAGAGCCAGTTTGTAATCTCAGTTGCCCTATTATCATTTGAAAATAAATTCACTGTGGGTACGTCTACACATCACCCTACAGTGACATTGTTACTGCGCCTTGCTTCAGTACTTTCTTTTGGAAGTACTAAAGCATGACACAGTAACTGCCCATACTGTGCTGTGCATGCAGCACATGGTTAATTTTAGCTGCTAAAACAGGGGAGCATGCCATTATGGTGAAGTAGCTGTTGGTCATGTGTAGACCCATGTCATCCTAAGGTGATGTAGTACATTGCTATGGTGATGTAGGATGACGTGTAGTTGTGCCCTACTTGTATTAGAGTTGTGCTTGATTTATAGTGGTGAAATGTGAAATCAGATTGTGGCTTCATAAATCACTAAACTCATTATTAGCTGACTAATTCCCTCTAGGGTCTTAGGTAAATTGCTTAGGGTAGAATTCTATTTCTTTTTAGTTGTCTAAGTCACAATTTTTTAGTTGTCTACATGGCATTTTTGTCACTTGTGCACAGTAGCCATACACGTGTGCGCATGTGTGTGTGTGTGTATATATATATATATGCACAGAGTAAATCCTGGATCAATTAGATCTGGGTGGTTCACAACTCATGTATTTTGCAGCACATGTTGTTGAATTAAGGGTATGCTACTTGGCTGCTTGCTGCAACTTTTACTTTAGGGGCTACTGCTTCTCCAGCTGGCTGGAGCTCATCAGTGGTTCTGCACAGCTGATCAGAGAAGTGGCACAGTTTGAAGTAAAAGCTGCAGAAAACAGCTGGAGCACCTCCAAGGGCCTGCACAGTTGTTTGCTTCAGCTATATATACCTCCATCTAGTTTGGAAGCCCTTATCTTTGCAGGGGAGATAAGGATAAGGGGATAATCTTGATAATCTTACTGTGATAAGCAAGTATTCCTGATAAGTAAGTAATCATGATATGTATCCACTGTGTAAATGGATCTATGCATAAGATGTTAGCTTAGAAATTCAAATCTGATGAATCAGCTCAAAATAACTTCACACAATGCACATAATTGTTTTTTTCTCATCTATTTATAATGTATTTGCTGTTTAGAAGGCTAAATGTTTCCTACTGTTTCATATATTTCAGTAGCAATCTTTCAATCTATCAATACCTTAAGTGATCAGAGGAAGCAGACAGCTGGAGACTAAAATGTTTTTTTGTCTAGCTGTCCAGCTTGTTCACTAGATTGCCATGGTAATTAAGAATCACTTCCACACAGCTGGGGTGGTAGCAAATGGATGGTGAGAGCATGTATTATTCCTGCTTAAAAGCAATGGTGTAATGTATTGTCCTAGTTCTTTCCTCAGATCCTGTTAACTTGCACTGAAAAGCCAGCCTATGCTTACAAAAGAAGTATATGCTGGAAGTAGCAGGACACCATCTCAATCAATTTCCCATTTCATTACTCTTACACCTTTATTATTTTCTCTCCTTGTTTTCTGTAGTAACCTGGGGCTCGTATTTTGACTATCTAATTGAATGGAACAAGTATATTGCTGATGACAATGTTATGGTGATAACCTATGAAGAAATGAAAGAAGTGAGTTTAATGCCATTTAAGGGAAGTTTTACTTTGAATTTTATTTAGTATTTGTTACAGAAATACTTCATAAGTAATAATAATGTCACTATTGAGCCCATACATGGCCTTTTCCCCACCTAAGTATAACTCAAACCAGAAAATAATTGCTTTATTCTACCTTTCAGTAAAAAAATTTGAGTTTTTTGTACTGAAAAATGAAATCCCACAATGTGAGAAAATGTTTTTAGAGTTGCGATGAAAACATTGTTTTGATTTAAAAAAATAATAACTTTTTGTTTAAATGGATTTAAAAAAAAAGACAGTTATCACTGAGGAAATGTTGTTGGGAATTTTTTAACCCAGTCATCCTTGCCCCTGGAAAGTGGGACTCAGATTCACCTTAGCCTTGGTGTAGACTTGGTGTAGGCTCAAATGCACCTTAGCTTTGGTGTAGACTGTCTATGCAAAAGCAAATTATGAACATAAGAGCATCACTGAAACCTGAATCCAAAGGTAGAGGTACTTTTGAATATATGAGGCACACATCTACTACTTTTCACCATTTCCAATTAATTTTCTGGGAAAATGATCCTCAAAAGCCAGTCAGTAAGTTGCTGTAAGAATGATCCTCTTTCATTAGCCTTATACATTCCCTAGGTTTTTTGTAAAATCCTTGGAAATCAGTGGCTTAAAAACAAGGAACACCTAAAGTTCCCATTGGCTCCATGAGGGGTGGAAAGCAGGTAACATTTCTGAAAATCAGGTTCAATATTTGAACTGTTCAAATCTTTTAGTTCTTGCTCTAGGAAACTTTGATTGTTTGCAGGGGAAAATTTTGCCTAAGAGCACTAGGATAAAGCTATATATAGCAGGCCTGTGCAAAGTGGCTAGTATTTGCTTCAGATTTGGATTCAGCCAATTCGGGGGACAATGGTTCAATTTGGTGATTTGAATCACTGTCCCAGATAGATTTGGCTGAATCTGATTTGGAGATTCGGCCATCGAAAAGGACCCATCCCCCACCCTCTCTCCCAGCCCTATCAATGGCTGCCATGAGCCCCCAGAAGTCCTGATGGCTGCTGCAGCAGCTGGTGAGTGCAGGGCTTTTTTTTTTTTAAAGTGCCGGGATGCTGGGGCCAGGTGCCATTGACAGGGCTGGGAGAGCGGGCAGGGGTTGAGGGCACTCAGGGGGGCTAGGGCAGCAGGCAGGGGATGGGGCCTGGTGGGGGTCCTCCCATAGCCCCTTTCCCTCTCCTCCAGCCCCACTCCCTGCTACTTACCGGCACTAAGTCCAGGTCCAGGTCCCTGGGGTGATGAGTGGGGACTGCCTGAATCTCCAAATCTCTGAATCTTTTCCGAATTGATTCAGAGGTGTTGAATCGATTTGGACCTTTTATTGGTCTCCTGAGTCAATTTGGATTCGAAGATTTGGCCACCGAATTGGGCTGAATCTCTTCTGAATTGAATCAGCAACCAAAGCTTCGCACAGCCCTAATATATAGTCTTGTTTATCCAAACTTCATGCAAGGGGTTGAAACCTAAATGAATGTAAAGTGTGCAAAATACTGATGGAACCTACAAAATCATTTACCTGCAATGTACTTCTGCAAATCAGGAGTTTGCATGGCTTCCTATTATTATGCTGACATACCACAAAGCATAATAGGCCCAAGAGTACAAAGATGGTAACCATCTGGTGGAAAAAGTGCTTTTAGATTGCTGTTTGGACAAGGTCATTGAGGGGTGATTTAAAGAATTAAAATTGCACAAAACTTGGGCAATCTCATTTCTCCTGTGCCTGTTATTTACTACCTGAGTTCAGCACTAAATTCATTCAATAAGAAAGCATCACTATACAACACATTGGAGGTAGTTGACATTTTTCCATCAGAAAACTCCTCTAGCACAAAATACTTTTATAACAGATTCAAAATATTCTATAAGAACACAAAGAGGGTGCCAGTACCTTTGGTAGAAACCAGGATAGCAAATAGCCAGGCCACTGACCAGCCTGTTGCAGCCATGATTTCCTGTTTCTCACCCATCTACATATGTCCTGGTGCTCCTAGGCTGGCCCCAACAATAAAGCTGGACCTTCCCAGTCTCTAAGCACCTGGATTCTCAGCAGCTCACCTGGAGAGCTACTGGGAAGCCTGAGCATAAAGGCTTTTCATCTGCCATAGTATGGGCTTCCAGGCTGTCTTGGTCTCAAGCTCTTCAGGACAGACTTGGGAGCCCAAGGTTCCTAATATGCTTCCAATTGGCTTACAAAAGGAAGCTTTGTAATTGTATTGACTTCAGTAGACCCTGTATGCAGAACCAACAGATTGTAGAAAACTCCTTCCCCAGTTGTTCTCATGGGAGCACTTTGCAGTGCCTTTTACTTCAGCATTCCTGGGTGTATGAACATGCACAAGTAAACTCTCAGTTGTAATGATACCAAGTGGCAAAAAGTAGCAATGAAATCAATTAAGTTACATGGCATAACTTAGAGTTCAGTCCAGCTTTCTGTGTCTTAGCACTTATTTGGACAAAGAGCTCCACAGAAAACACACAGATCCCTCTCCTCATGTGGAAAAAACCCCCTCTGTTTTCATGAGTAATGAATTTGGGACTAGCCCCACTGGGCATATATTCCCTGTATTTTACAATGCTTAGAATTCTTACAATGCTTAAGACATACAGACACATTTTTTACAGTCAGTCTTCTATGTATGAGCTCACAGAGATATTAATATAGTCATTCTACAGGCACAATACAAATGTATCTTCCTTTCTTCAGAACCAGACTTTGGGAATGAAAAAGATAGCTGAATTCCTTGGATTCTCCCTCAGTGACGACGAGATCCGGACCATTGCAGAGAAGAGCACCTTCAAAGCTATGAAAGAGAAATCCTCAGAAACCCATGGCATGTTTGGAAAAATTCTCTTCCGTAAAGGTAAATTCAGTGGTATAACAAGCAAAGTTAGCATCTGGGGCAGACACTCTGGGCAGGCTGGGGGACAAGCATGTGGTTCTAAGAGCAGGATCAGGGTTGGGACATAGGTTCTGAGAGGTTGGGCAGAGGTGTGGACTCTGAGAGCAATGTTTATGCTCAGCTTACAATTTTAAAGCTGTCTTTGGAAGAAAGGCTACAGACTTGAGGTCAAATACAAAGTAGTATAAATGGATGTAGCTCCATGTGGGTCAAAGGAATTGTACTAATTTATTACAGCTTTACACATGGTAATATATTTCTTAAAAAATTGAACTTGGATTTTCCTTTCGACCTGTGCTGCCTATTAAAAATCCATCAGAATCTGAGGGAACCTTCAAAATTCTGTAACAACTCCCAAACAAAAATAATCCTGAGCCATACATCTCATTAAATCTTGTATATAACAAATTGGAGGTTTGTAATGCAAGATATTTCACAGCTATGGTATGACCAGAATGATAAAAAAGAATTTAAAGAATGATGGCAGGTTTTTTGAATTCCCAATGTGCAGAATAGCTTCCTCTGTTTACGTCTTATATTGTTGAAAAAAAGTCTTAGGTCAGACACCGCAAATGTAGATTTACCAAACCAAATGACATATATTTAGGAATATGGGTGGATGATTACACATTGTGATGTGCCAAAAATATCAATTTACAATGGTAAGTTAGTAATAACTTCAGCCAAGAAATGATAATGATGTATATATTTATTTGTGGTTGCAGGAATTGTTGGTGGCTGGAGAGAGCTTTTTACGGAAGCTCAGAGCAAAGAAATGGACAGAAAATTTGAAGAGTGTTTAGGAGGAACTAAGATTGGAGAAAAGATAAAATATGGAATATACTGCAAGGCTTGAAGAGTAAAACATGCAGCCTTTTTAGAAGTTTGAATTCTTTTTTAGCTTTTGTACCATAAATCTGTCTTAAATAGATTTTAGATTGTTTTCTAGGAATAGATCAATTAAAGTTAGGACAAGTTAACATAAATCAGGCTAAGGGAAGTTGTAAAATGAAGAGATGAGTCTCAGGTGAGACAATGTTAGAAGTATAGGAAATTTTAAGCCAGTTCTAGGAGACCTGGATATAGACTGGTGGTTTAAGGACAGGCAATAGTTCCAGTTTGAACATAGCATAACAAAACATCCTTTTCAACCATAATTGAACCTTTTGTTTAGCTTTAGATTGTGAGGAGGGGAATGAAAAGGAAGGCCTTGCCCTAAGATGATGTTCCTCTTGCATCTTTGTGCTGAGGCTCCTAGCTGTAGATGTATGGAGACCAGTGCTTTTTAGAACTTAATCTCTGAAACTTGAATGAGATTTTCCTAAGAAGCTAGGCTTAGATTTCAGAATTTAAGGTTTTAGATTCTGGGGTTTTAAGATTTTTTAAATTTCTTTTAAATGAGAAAGTATTGGACTAGATAAATATATATCTAGATATGTTCTTGTTAATACATTATATATATTGTAGTAGCCTTTATTTGCTACCAATGTTCATTGCTCTTTTAATACAATTCTTCCTTCGTACTCCTTCCACTGAAAGATTTGACTGGGTTTGGACAGGGGCTGCTCAGATTTCCCTTGAATCCCAGATCACCTTCAAGGTTAACAAGCAGCATCACCGAAGCAAATGTTTTTCCTAGTATGATCTGTACACTTGTTTTACCACACCAAAAAGCAGATTAATCATATCAAATTCTATGTATACAACTGTAAACAATCATATTCTAGTTCTTGGTACCAGTAATTTAAATCCAATCTGTGCTTTAGGTTTGATATTTCATATGCTTAATGATGTATACAATGTTACTTCTGGATGACACCTCCCCAGATG